TAATCATACGGTTTTTCTCGTTCAATTTGGAATTAATTTGCACTTGTGAATTTTCAAAAAGCTGAAATGTCACTCGCCGAAGCGGCTCGTGCAATTTCAGCTTTTTGAAAAACTCACTCGTGCAAATTAATTCCAAATTGAACTCGAAACCGTATGATTACCTATAGAAATACATACATCCATTTTAACGAGACCTCGTTCTTGGCGTCGACATAGTCATTATTTGAGCTCCCTAGTTACAGAAAGATATGTTGATTATATAATGCATACATTTATTTGTGACATCTCCATACCTGAACGACACCCATACAACTCCATTCTTAGTGACATCCACCCATGATACGATACCGGTTGGATTCGGATGTAGCGGGCATAAATTGGTGGATTCAGTGTGTTGATATGAAGGCTGTCCCGGTCACGATTGCCTTGAAAGACCTAAAGTGATAACAAAAGGCACATGTACGTATTGGCAAATGTCACAGGAGTGTTTAGCAAACGCGGACGACCACAATCAGTGACCAATCTCAAAGAAATCGAACTGAACAATGAAATACTGAGGGTATCTACAATCATAGACAAAAGTCTTGGGACAAATTTGCACTTGTGGCGCTTTTTCATACGCGCCAAACAAACAGTCACGCGCGAATTCAACTACACTTGCTCAGCCTCTCCTCCCACCCCACCTACAATGTTGGACACGTGTACACGCAATCTCTCCACAGTTTCAACATTGTAGTGGATGGGGGAGGGGGGAGGGGGGCAGAAACAAATTTTGGAAAGGATAACAGAGCTTTTTCAAACTTCGTTTTTAAAACACAGATAATTCATGCAATGACACAGGTGTCATTTTGTCCACCATTGTACCACTACTATCTGATATTGATAGTAACTTATAAATGTCTAATAAAACAACGTTTGTGGAGTTAACCTCATTGTAAGGCGCCGAAGTTCGAATCGAGTGATCGGGGTTCGTGCCCTGGGCGGGGTAACTGCGTTGTGTTCTTAGACAATACCTCTCTTCACCCAGGTGTATGAATGGGTACCGGTGAATTTAATGCTGGGGTGGTGGGGTGGGATAACCCTTCGAAGGACTAGCATCCCATCCACTGGGGGAGAAAAAATACTCCTAGTCGTTAGTCGGGATAACCGCCGGCCTTTACGCACAACTTCGCCCAGCGTAAACTTTGTTTTTCTTTAGTTAAGTGGAAGTTCAATCTCCAAAGGATAAAACGAAAACAAACAAACAAACAAACGAAAAATTGAATTACTGTATGACTTTAGCTAAATGTTTTGGTTTCAACTTACCCTGTCAGAGCCATATTGACCGTTCTTGTAAAACTCAAAATATCCGCCATCATAGCTATAAGACACCTTGTATTCAGTCACCCACTCATACAATTCTGCTCGGCCCTGAGTTCCGATCTTGGTCACCTTTGTGATGTCACCAAGATCCACCTGAATCCATTGTCCTTGTTCCAGGAACAAAGTTGACCACGCGCCTGTTTTGCCGTTCCCTGGCCTGTGATTAAGCCTGGCATTGGTAGCTCCATGAGCTACACTAAACTGCAAATACAATACGTCGATTCACAAATTTATTGTTTGATTGCCCGTGTCTCCTTATTTAGGGAATTGAGCTACCCTGTGCTGAAGCTCTTTACTTTCAAGAGCACCATAGTTATGTACTTCTTAGCATCCCTGACCCTGTTTTGTGTGTGTGTGTGTGTGTGTGTGTGTGTGTGTGTGTGTAAGTCTGAGGTTTTCTTTATGAATGCTTTGTTTTTTGTTCTCCCTTAAACTAAAGTGGAAACTGTAAATTCTTTATTTATCTCTCCTGTCCAACATTTAGACATAACTAGGCTGGAGGTTTACTTGAAAACCTAACCAATCATTTAGCTTCCAGGTTCCTTAAAACAAGATTACAACAGTTACCATATCTGAAACATGCTACATACATGAAATATACAAAAAATATTATAAATATTTATGTTTTTAGTGAGAAAATAAAGATGTTGTTTTTGTCTTCATGGCGGAAACAACCCTATACAGCATAATACCGCATTAAAGTATTGTTCAATAGCACTAGCTGCTGCTGGAAATTGTTTTCAAAATTTGATGATCGTTTTTCCAAATTTACCGGCGGAGATAGCTTAGATGGCAGAGATCTTCAAGACTGCGAGACGTGACCAGTAACTACTGACACACTATTACTGAAGAAGAATCGCAAGATTTCGAAATTCGCGTCAAAATATCAAACCAAATTTGGGTACTATACGTTAAAAATAACTACCGGTATGTCGACCTATAACCCGCCTGATATATCGTCAAAGAGTATACAAGTATAAACATGTATTGCATTTACCTCGTAATTAGCTTTGATAGCAGAGTCGGGGATTTTGCCATTTTCCATTCCCAGGGCTTCTTCATCGCAACCTGAAAGCGTGAGCAAACAAGAAGCCCAATAGAACCCATTACTAAGCACAGCGCCTTCTTTTTTATATGTCAAAATATATATTTTTGGAATGAATTCAAGAGTATTTGCTGTACTGCAGTACGAAGCTTAAGTCTATTGATATGGCTACATAACCGATTTTGCTCAGGCCTTTGCGTAAGTTGCAGTGGCTTGGGGGAGGTTTCAACTATGATAACCAATGGATGTCGTATATTTTCCTTGAATTCATGTTATCACTACGTTTAACTTAACTACTACACTTGATAGCAGACTGGCGCATTTTCTGTTCACTGATATGTTTTTCAGCATTTACCAGTTCATTAGACATTTCGAGTGGTCAGTTGGAGAGTCTAAAATTGTAATCGCTTTTCGTTCAGTATTAGCTGCTCATTCTGACGAGGTACTTGATAAATTGGTTGAATTAACATTGACTATGCTTTGTAGTTTTAATAATACTGTTCACGTACGAAAATCAGTGTACTGTACGTAATGATCTTAGTTTTGAAAATAGCAGAATGAATTAAACCTCTTCATTTTGATCCTACATCTTCTTGATGCATGCAATACAATTGTTTATACATTCAAATATCTCTAGTATAAATAACGATCGAAATATATGAGGTATTTGTGGGGGTAACGTTAAGGACTATGAAAGCAGATTGATGATGAAAATTTGAGACTTTCTTCTTTTTCAGAGTACGTACCTTCATCCGCATATCCTGAGAAGAAACACAAAAGAGAGAGAGAGAGAGAGAGAGAGAGAGAGAGAGAGAGAGAGAGAGAGAGAGAGAGAGAGAAAACGGGGTTAGAATGTGCAAGAGATCTACACCTTTATAGCAATGACACTAGACAAGTACAAATCAATATAAGAAATCCCTTATTTTCTGTAGTGGGGGGATCTTTTCCTAATCTTATAAATTGGTAATGGAGTTCCTAACTTATACTAACAGATGCCTGTTAGTCTGATTTTAACCATTTTTATTCAAAAGTATACCCCTCCTAAAAATGTACGATGTATTTTGATAGTTCTTTTATAAGTATATGTATCAGTGAACTGTTTATGTAAACACAGATTAATACAAAACTACATTGCGACGCAAAGAAAAAAAATGAAATCGAAATTATTAGTGTTAGCAAGCTTCAAGATTAAAGTTTTCAGTTTTTTTATTATTGCACACTGTTTACAAAACAACAACTTAACATAAGAGGGTTTACAATGATATAGGAAAAATAAATACAGATAGAAATTAACTAGAAGAAACAATATTTAATTGTGTACAGTGACCAAAGCAGCCAATGAGCTTTCGAGTTGGTCACTGTCATGCAGATATAAGTTGGCGTTGGCCGCATGCTAAGTTAATTTAAATGAATATTTACATTAAAGACATAAATGCAAGCTAAAATAAAGGAAAACAATGTCCTGAATATTGTACAGCAGTACAAACATTAAATGAAACGGCCGCTGTTAGTAACGTGTACAAGTTATATTTACTGGCACTATTGTAAACATTAAGTTGACTGTCAATTGCATTCCTCAAGTAATATACCAAGTAAAAAAAATTGGAAACAAAAGGTCTTCATAGCGGATGTCGATGGGTTTAATGTCGCTTGGCAGCCTTATATTTATTTTTTCTTAACAAAAGTAAAAAAAAAAAACAAAACAAAAACAATCTGGAGTAAAAATCCAGTGAAATGTTAGCCTAAGTATTGTTCGCGTCACAGTCTTGAGGTTCCTGTTGCATCGCCGAGTTTAGACACTTTAAGAAACGGCCTTCATACCAAAAAGCACACCTTGAATAATAATATTGATAATGATGAATTATATAAACACAAAAGAAGCAGAAGAGCTGATGTGGTCGTGTATGTATAAAAATAAAGATTCCTAACTCACCTTAGTAATTACAATTAAAATGGAACTATTTAAACTTGAAACTAAAATTTACAAAACCGAAAAACTATATAGATACATGGGCATCGTATTGTCATTTTAAAACATTTTGTGTCAAAATGATCATTATGTTTATTGCTTTTCTTATGAGCCTACATGTTTTGTCAATTAGATTTTTAACTAGTCACAGCATTTCGCATTCCAAAGCTTTACAAAACCCCTTTCAAACGATCTGGAAGAAATGGTATTGCATTATTTGAGTACCTCTTACAAGTTTGTTTTGGTATGTCGCTGATCGCCAGAGGATGCTGTACATGTAGATAAACAGCTGATGACTACCTCCCTTAATGAATTTTTCCTCGGGACAGCTTTTAGAGACCATGCAAATACTCAAATTAATTCAAAAGGAACGTGTTAAATTAAGGGAGGATGAAAAATCAACTAAGGGAAAAATATAAATGGAGTTGATTCATTTGTTCTTTTTAAGAGTTATTAGAATTTTCACAATTTGTTTGGCTCTTTGGAGGAGTAAAGGTTATTTGGTTAAATATGTTATTGCGTGAAGAAAACAAAAGATACTCCTAGGAGCTAAACCACCTTCGCAGGAATGCAAATAAAATTGATGTTTTCTGCTCTTGCAAACCGTTAATAGCAAAAAAGTACGAAAGAAAGGACTACTTGCAAGTACTAACTGTTATGTAGAATAGACCGTTCTTTGTGCTCAGTGGAAAATAATGATTTTTACTTAGAACTTCCCGTTAGTAACAACAAATTCTGCGTGCATCTTCCTTGTTGATTGGCTAGAGCAACTTATACACTAATGTTTTAAACTTTCAAAATGAACTCGTGTAGGTTTGACAGGTTTTACGCCTTTTTAATGAAAGGTTTGTTGAGTTTTTTTTTTTTTTCATTCATTCATTCTGTTTATTTTGTCTTCTTACTTAATGTACAGTATTTATAAATATTTTAATGTCAGGCGAGGTGACCTCTAGAAACCATCAGGTTTTTAGTTGAGGCCACCTCGTGCGTAACAATACGGTTACATAAATAGCGCAACAATGTGCGGCTTTGCCGCTGTTGTCATTAATCAGCCACAAGATGGTAGGATTCGATGTCCCGTGGACAGAAGTCTTGAAATTTTTTCAACTTCACACAGTGAATTTTTTCGTTCATTTTTGGACAATGTGGAGATAGTTGTAAATAAAATCTGTTTCTGGAAAGAAAAGTAGGGGACACCGAACGTCCAAGATCGTTAGATCCAAGCAAAGCTGTAGCGATGGCTATCCGCTCTATCATTGTTCAGTTTAGTACTTAGCGCACGCGCTCGATGCATGACGTGGCGTGTGAATTTGCGTGCGCAGTAAGGATGCGCGGAAACAATTGGCGCGAACGTCCTTAAGCACGATCGGTCTTATGCGAAGAGATAGTAATAGTTGTAATTCAAGTTTTGAAAAAACTTACGGAATAGTTTTACATGTATAAAATCACTTAATTTCTTATCACTGGTTCCCCCTCATCGTAACCTTTTCATCACCACTTTCACAGTACTTTGTTCCTGGCTAGTAGATATTTCTATTTCTGAGATCAATAACAAAAACGAAAACAAAACAAGCGAAAAACATAGATATTCATTTGGGAGCTGTTTTAGCTCCGTACGAGTCCATAATCCATACGATTGAAGACAACGGTAGCACAAAATCTCGTAGACTAAAGCTATTAATGTAAATCACTTTTTTTTGGAGAAAATAGGTTAAAATCCTTGTGGAATTAAAACACTAAAATATCAAAGTTCTTTTGTACTTACCACTAGGTATCAAAAGTTGAAGCAACAAAATAATGTGTACCTTAATGTCCATGATTGCACTGAAAGCTTGAGAAGACTAACCTGCTTCACGAGAAGGACGCTTTCTTTATAGAAATCCATGCCTAATGGTAATTTCATCATTTAAAAAGATCTGATTGGTGCCTCAAAATACATTTCTAAGGCTCCTAACAACAAACCGAGTTGTTAAGGAAGTTTTAAGAAGTAGAATGGACAAGTTATTAGCATAAATATAACTTCCTGTTGAACTTTTGAATTAAAACCTAAAGGAGAAATAGATGCGTTATATTTTCTGGCCATGTTTTGGTCGATATACTCCAGTGTTCATGAAGGTACCCCTGGTGCTAGTCAACCACTGAACACTACTTACCAAATAAAACAAAATGTGACAGCTTCTTACCTACAAATGAATCAACGTGTCATCTGAGAATGACTAGGGTGTTTACGAAACCACGATGGCGACGCCGAGGACAACGTCGATTAAAAAATGGATTTATATTTTACCTGCGAATCTCGCGATACTCTAAAGTCATTTACCAATTCCGTTACCTGTGTTGTCAGTTTTTATCAGCCTTTGCATGACGTCAGACTTAAAAGTACCCTAGATGTTGTGCAGTACAGCCTAATTTGGTGATCTGTGAAATGCTAACATGGTTCACAGGAGAAGGTTGGAAGCCTGTTCTTTGTTTTCTTTTTTCATATCTCCGTCGTCGAAAATTGAGAAATATGGTCAAACGTTTTTAGAATGTTAGGGGTTAAGGGCTCTATGTGATGTTTTCGCATTCTTTGCTTTCTGTTGTTTCTTTTATTCACCGATCTCGTGCTTGCTCGACTCAGTTTATTCTGATTGGCTTAATAAATGCACTCTGCTTGGGTATAACTTAGTATTGTTTCTAATCATCGAAGCATGAATTTCTTAAGTATAGTAAGACGGAATATATAGGAGGTCACACTATCGAAATTGCTAACTAAAGTTATGTTTATCCTAACTTTTTTTTTTTTTTTTTTGATGTCTTATAAGTTTAAAAATTTCTCGGTGAATTATGATGATGATTAGTTGAAAATAAAATATCAAATTTACACAAGTCGTAGCAACAAAGAAATCATTCTCAAGAATGCTATAAATGTTGTTCCTCTCCGAATTGCAAAGACCTTTTCAAACAAAGAGCAATTTAAAACTTGAAAACGTTGTGCTAAAACTTTTTGCACGTAGTAACGGTCCGTTATTGCAGATGTAGGACCATTTGTTTGGTTTTGCATATAGCTGGTCATGCATATGAAAATAAGTCCCCCTGAGGCCTTACTAGGGGTTTTCGGGATACAGGATATTTGGGGAAAAAATTAATGGTATATTGGATATTTATGCTAGATAAAACGAGATATCGAATGCGAAGATCGTTAATTTTTGTATTAACGGGATACTGGACATTTAGGCTAAGGATTAACCGGATGTGGGATACTCAGATCCCCCTTGGCTTAGCATCTTTCATTAGCAACTTCCGCTATGACACAAAACAAAACAATTGTTTAGGCTTTCGGGCGTACTCTTGTTTAACTGATTTGGACTTAAACCAATCTGACATAATAATGTTTAGCTAGAGAAAGCGATTGGAGAAGAAATATCTTTTAACAGCTGTATTTGCTCTCAGTGATTATTCAAGTAGCAAAATTTACCGGTTTACATATTTTACTTGAGGTACATGCATGGTTCAGTTACTTTATGGGTGTTTTACTTGTAGTAAGGTTGACCTTAAAATTGTATTTAGTACATGTAACCACTAAACTTATGATAAAAAATAAAGTATTCATCTAGTCTTAAGAGATCAATTTGGTGACAGGAATTTACAAGCATGGGGTAAGGGTGTCATTATTTCAGTTCTTAACACTTCCTTCACAACAGTGCATTTTAACATTTAATTATCACAATAGTTTTGTTCCCATAAGGATAGAACTCCGATCACAAAGTACAATAGTCTGAGCCTCTATGTTATGCCGGATACAGTACTAGATTTTGGGTTGCTGTATGTACATATACAGTAGTCAGAAATTTGTGCAAAATGTACACGAAAATCTACAACGTAAACTAAATGACACTTAAAAATTAGAACTGAGAAAGTATTATTTAAGCAAATGGCGCCCCAATGATTCATAACGAAACAAAAATACTTTTTTTCTATTTTTCAGCCTGAATGTTTTCAGATTATCACAATTTTAAGACTGACTATCATACATAACATACTATAAAACGTTACTGGAAATATTGTTTCATTTTTCTGGAGGTCCTTCGCCAAAATAAGTTATAAGTTCAGTGCTTTGGACATCCTCAGGGCTGCTTGTGGGTTGTAAAGAAATGCAAATGTGGTTTCTCGCCATAGTTTTCCCTGTTCAAAAAAGCTTGAACTATCACTGAAACAGTGATGAAACATTTTGATGACTGGCGAGTTTTCTCTTCGCTTAAGTGTTTTTCTAGCGGCTGCGTCTTGTTTTAAAGTCGTGTCCGCATTTACATCAGTACAAGAACTTGATTTCCTTTAGCAACAAAAACGCCTGATCGTACCGTCAACTTTCGCGTTCCTGTTTATATGTATTATTGGAACGCAATCTGGGATAAACAGAGAGGTAACCGTTCTTATTAATCTCTGAATCTAAACAGCGACGAGAGAACGTTAACAAGAGTTGAACAGTCCCAGCTAGACTAAGTTTGAAAGGCTAACTTCAAAATTTGCAATTACGGCTGATTGTTCAAAAGGAATCACCAAGATTTCAAACACATTTCTTTTTTCAAATCCATGAACTGCCCTAGGATTTGAAAAAGATTCTGACGACCAAATTTGAAAGATATGTGTGAGCAGCAGGAATGTGTGTATTTATCATATTCTTTCATTCCCTGATGATGCCGTAGAACGGCGAAAGCTTGGAATTAAAATACAGTAGCTCAAGGCCTAAATTGAATCAATATATCTATCTATTCCGAAATGCTACTGAAGGACAGCTTCAAACCTTATTATTTTCGGTTTTCAGTTTTAGACAAACTTGCTACCAATGTGCAGCTCACGAGAACAGGCAAAGACAAAGATTAGCTACTGGATGGATTTGCTAGGTATGTTAAGGTCAAGATTCATAAATGATTATTTGGTTTTGCCACCCTTTCCCGACATGCTATCCCTGATATCCCGTGATTCTTTTTACGCTCGAAATTACACCTGGCATTCTGTCCCAGGCCTCCCCAGGCATTCTGTTTTAAAACTTACGCATCTCACGACATGACACCATCTGAGCCACAGCCACCAGACCAAACCACACAATGAACCGTACGGACATAATCTAGCCTACAAATAAAAAAAGAACAAAGAAAAAAATTCAATTGTGATATGACTGGCCAAAAACTTAGGATTGACTGAGATCAGGCAACTTTGTGATTATTGGCTGTAAAGTAAAACCCACAGGAATCACTACCTTGATTCAGTTTGTATTTTTTATCTCAGAGATATGTAAACTTGGGCTCTTTTGTGTCCCTGCGTTAGCTAAAATGCCTATAGCCAAAGGCAAATAGATTTGGTCGCGTAATAACTGCGGGATGCAATTAGAACTAAATCCACTGAGCTTCGCACCTCGACGATGTCACGCAATAGCAACAATTTTTCGTATTTTTCATTCAAACCAAAAAAAAAACAAACGCTCCACAGATCAATTTATCACGTGGAATTTAATTAAACCCAAAGATCATAAGAATCCGTTGCAAACTCCTACAGAATATAAGACTTCAAACTTTTACAAAGTAATGTATACCCGACTATGCCAGGAGGCAATTGTCCGTCATGCACCTATACGTCCGTACTTCAATAGATCACAAGGAGGAACCAATCAAAATGCTAGAATAATTCGTTATAGCATATAAAGCATAACTGATTATTTGCTTGGTGAGTCACTGTTTTGCGCGCCAAAATAAATTATGCTAGGAGTTCGAGATGCATGACTGAGCTTGCAAGTACTCTAAAGCAAATAATAACTTTGATCATAACGTGCAATGGTTTGCCACTTTTCTGCCATCTGCTACCACCGCGAACGATGTTAACGAAGAACGCTGAAGCTACAGCGAGAAAATCCAAGTTGCATGGGGGTATTTCAAATTAACTAAGTCTGCATTGGCAAGCTTAGGTTTGAGGAGAGTAAATCTTTTCGGCTACTCAATCTATTGGAACCAGGTGCGCGGGCCCGTGGCGCGCGGGCTAACCATGGAATGATCCGTGCGTAACGAACTCTAGCTGTGTTGGCACACGGCAAAGACAGCTTCATACAGCAAGTTTTACTTGCCCCAATATTAGTAAAACTCGATTTCTGAGCGTCTTGTATTTATGTAACAATACTAGCTCGTTAATTTGTGTGCTATCGGTTCAGAACATCATTGAATCAACTTAGGCCTCGAATATTTTTTTCTTTAACTCAGTTCATTCAGATTAAATGTAGGTGCCCATCAATCGCGCCAATTGTTGTGAAATATTTACAGACGATGCATCTTTGACAAACTTTTTTCAACGTTTTTTTTTTTTTTTTTTTTT